CACCTCTGCCTGCTGACCTGATCGCCCCCTAATCACTCCCCTGCCGGCCTGATTGCACCCAACTGCCCTCCCCTGCTGGCCTGATCACCCCCTAACTGCTCTCCCCTGCTGGCCTGATCACCTCCTAACTGCTCTCCCCTGCTGGTCTGATCACCCCCTAACTGCTCTCCCCTGCTGAACTGATCACCCCCTAACTGCTTGCTCCCCCTCGCCGGCCTGATCTTACCCCTAACTGCTTGCTCCCCTGCCGACCAGAGCGCCCCTAACTGCTTGCTACCCTGACGGCCTGATCACCCCTAACCGCCTCCACCTTGGCCCCTACCACCATGACTTTGTCCGGAAGGAAGTCGGACATCCAGAAAATGTCCGGTCAACCCGGTCTTAATTAGCATATTACCCTTTTATTAGTATAGATAATTACCAAGTGATACAGAATTTTAAAAAACAAACTACAAATTTGACAGCTAGCTAGAATTATGTACATGATCACTGAAATGTCCACCAAATTTCTTTATTGAAGGTCTGAAGTGACTTCTAAAATACAACCAAAAGTAAACAAATGGAATTTACATACCACTGTCCCCATCCATCAGGCTCATATCATTCAAATATACTATGTTGGTGAAGGCCTCTCTTCTTCTCTCCAGCTCCAAACAGAGAGTAAGATATCCAGGCCAGAAACTTTAAAGAAACCAAAGTTGAAGAAAGGAATAAAAGGAAGTGAATTTATCTGGAGCTGCACAGTCCATTACAAAAGATACTAGGTGCATGTGGCTATTTAAATTTAAATTAAGTAAAAGTAAATAAAATTTAAAAGTCAGTTCTTCAGCTGACCAATCCATATTTCAAGTACTCAATGGTCACATGTAGCTAATGGCTATCATATTGGACAGTGCAGAATATTTCTATTACCATAAAGTTTTGACAGCCCTGATCTGGAGTATATAAGAAAAAAGAATTAAAGCTAGTGGTAAATACTGACATTCAAGGCCAAGCACCAATTATTACTTTATATATATACATACTTTATAAATGTAAAGATTCAAAACAAATTAGCATATTTTCTCCAAATGTGAAAGTTCTCCTTGACTCTTCTCCCCCTTCATTTGCTATATCCAGTATTATAAATCCCACTGCATTTTCCTTCTAAATGTCCCTTGGATGTGGTCCTTTTGCTGCCTTACTAATCACCAATTCAGTTAAGAATGAATTACTGCCATAGCTTTTAAGCTGGCCTTTCTGTCTCCAACCTTTCTCATGTATGACACCAAAAATGATTTCCAGAAAGTTCCATTTTTATGTCATACACAAAAGTCTAAAAGGTCTCTACTGATGTCTAAATTCTTCTGACCAACTTTCAAGGTCCTCCATGATATCATCACCCACCATCTGGCAAGTTTCATCCTTCACTATCAATAAATACACATGTATCAAGTACCTGCCATTATAAGGGAAAAGGAAGAAACAGGTCCCTATCTTCAAAAGATTATAATCCAGGGGGAGCCATATGATAACATGGCTAGGCAATAAGTAACTGACTAATATGTGGTATGAATAAAAAGTAATGTCAGGTTTTCCTGCCCTTATTCTTGTTTCTTAAGCCTCACCAGCCCTCCTCCTGGCTCCTTTTAAATACAAATCCTATCCAGTCTTCAGGGCTTACCTCCAAAATTTCATCTCCTCCCTGAGTCCTTCACTAGCAATTCTCCGAGAACATTCTGATTCCTCCCAATTTGGACAACCCTATAGCAATTATAATTCAAATCACAGTCTAGAGCAGCCTTGGGCAAACTACGGCCCGAGGGCCGATCCGGCCCGTTTGAAATGAATAAAACTAAAAAAAAAAAAGACCGTACCCTTTTATGTAATGATGTTTACTTTGAATTTATATTAGTTCACACAAACACTCCATCCATGCTTTTGTTCCGGCCCTCCGTCCAGTTTAAGAACCCACTGTGGCCCTCGAGTCAAAAAGTTTGCCCACCCCTGGACTAGAGCTTAATTAAATACCATCTGTATGCCTGGGGTTAGCAACTAAGCCAGTGGTTCTCAACCTTGGCTGCACATTAGAATCACCTGGGAATCTTTTTAAAATCCTGATTTCTGGGCCTCATCCTCTGGAAATTCTGTTTCTTTGTTACTAATGTGTGGCCCCACCCACCACAAATATGCACAAATATGAAAAAATATGCACAAAAATTAAAAGGAAAAGTTTGTGTACTTAACTATTACTTAAGATACTTTCCTGTAGCAAAGAGTATTCGCAAACGATAAAGTATATCAATTGAGGCCCTTAACTACTACAAAGTTATTAACTGAAATGATTCTAATCTTAACTTCAGTTTCTAAGAAAATTCTCTTACCCACGAGACCTGCAGATGTCAGTCATTTTCTCTTTGGTTGTAAAATCTGCAGGTAGTTTAATTAGATGAAGGATCAGCTGACTGTAACCCCAGGAAAACAAGTGTGAATGAGGCCTGTGAAATGAAAAACTCCCTAAATTAGATAGGAAATAAATTCTACAAAATGCTTATTAGTCATCTAATAGGTAACAGCAGAATTTAATTATATTTGTTCCATTATTATATTTTTCAAACATTTTTACTTGGATTTTGAAAAATTAAAAACATTTTTCCTATCACAAATACCTACTTATTATTTAAAATTAGACATTTTTAGGTAATCAAAAACAAAAGAAAGAAGCCTATACTTTCATCCACTCAGCCACTGTATATCCTTCCAGACCTTTAGTTTAGGCATATAGGATAGGTATTTGGGGGCTTTTAAAGCTTCTCTGCAGGAAAATACAAGAATCAGTTGTGATACATTATAAGTATCAGTGTGTATTTTTTATGAATTCTATTTTTTTAAATCCTAAATCAGGTATGTCTAGAAATTTCTGGGGAGAAAATACACACAAACACATATGCACAATTTTTTTCCCTTCTGTTACAGGATAGCAAAAAACTACAAAAATTCCAGGGCAGGAGGAATAGGGAACTGAGAGAAGAAAATTAAAATAAGGCCAAGCAGTTTGGACAGCTTGCAGCTAGCTTGTAAATAACAAGCCCTTATCTTCCCCAGCTAAGGACATTTGAGAGCAAATGGTTAATGTGTCTCCAAAGACAGCATAGAGAAATGAGGAAGGGGAAAGAAGAAGGAAGAATGCAGTCTTATCTCATTCCATTCCCTAAACAGAAAAGCCAGCAGTCTCGGGGCTTGGCAAGATAAAATTGCCAGGTGCTTCTCACAAATTCTGGGCAAGCCAAAACAAAGTAAAAAGGGGACCTTAAAAATTAGCCAAGATATTTGGCAGAGGAGTTTTAAAATCTATAGACAAAAAAGCATATAAGGCAAACCCTCCCCCCGCCCCCAATCCCCACCCCACTAACTCCTGGGATTAGCCAAGAGAGCCCATCCGTGCGTTATGCAGAATGATAAATTTGCTTGCCTTGTTCCTTTAATAAATTTGCATGCCTTACTTTTTAAATTACTTTCTTAATAAATTCACTTTAACACAACACAATTATCTGGGAGTCACTCGTTAGAATTCATTCTTATGAGCATGACAAGAATCAAGGTGGGGACAGCCCTCTTCCTTCAGGGGGCTTTCTGATAACACCTCTCTGGTGTCTATGAGAGGTGCATGTAACACTTCTAACACAGGTTTGGCTATCAAGAGCTCTTAATGTGGGTCCATGAAAGCGCTTAAAAGGGTCAGTTTTGTTTTCTGTGCAAAATTTTGCATGGATATGCATTTTTCTAGGAGAAATCAGGTTCTTAATAGGATCTATAACTAAAAAATGTTCAGAACCACTAGGAAGTGCACTCAATCTCGTTACTACCATAACTTGGCTCAGTCTCTTCCAGAGCTGTTCCTGAAGTAAGCCCAGAATGCTATATGTGAATAAACCAGCTCCATTCAAAGGAACATCAGAGCTTAAAAAGAGGATTTCTGTACCTGGGATTTCCTTCATCATCCATAGTGCTTGTGCTTGGGGGAGCATCATGGGACACTGCTAACAGCAGCCAATCCAATCTTAACGACTCTGGTTGTAGAAGGGACTCAAGGAAGGACTGCCTAAGAGACAGAAAATAGGGGAGAAAAATCACCACTTTTCATGCTATGAAAGGAAACATAAATTGTGGGGATGTGAAAATATTACTGAGGAATCATATAGTGAATAAAATAACTTGAAAATAACTTCTGCTACAAAATGTCTAGAAAAGCTGGTGAAAGTCTAATAGCCTTTTAAATGAACAGGTGAGCCCCAAGATAATAAGGAAAATACCAAACAGCCAAAAATAAAAAGAGAAATAAAAGTCAGTATGACAAATATGAATCAATCAAAGGAAGAAGAGGGGTGGTAGTGCAGGGTAGGAAGAATAGCCGCTCTCAATAACAGGGGTTGTGTGGAGATAGAAAATGAAACCTCAGTCTAATTTCAACTGCCCAAATCCTTCTCTTCCACTGTAGATGCCTCAATTCTATGGCAGCTGACAGTAAAAATGCTACAACTGCTTATACAAGAGAGATAATACCCTATCCGAAGAAAGAAAAGTCTACAAATACTAGTAATTCTCGCCTTCTTACCGGTGATCTTCAGGCCTTGATTTCACTAGACTGTCTAAATAGGCCAAAAACTGAGCAGGATGATGATGACAAAGTTGCATGACATCTGAAGGCAAAATTGATGGGTAAAACTTGATCAAGGATCGAAGGGCAGATTCCCCAAACTTCTCATACAATCTGCATTTAAAAACAAAACATATTAGTCTCCAACTCCAGTGAGATGATATAGCTTGGTTACATTATCTAAGTACTTATTAGAAATAAATATACCAACAAGAAGCTGACCAACATGCAACTGAATAAAACTTTACAGACTAAGACCAAAAAAAAAAAAAATGCATGTGATTTAGTTCATATAAACAACATACACAACAACTTACTGGGTAGCATAAGCAATCAACAAAGGACTGTCAAAAGGGACCGAGTCATCCACTAATTTTAATTTTGTTGGTAGATCTCCTTCTTCCATCTCCATATATGTAGGACTGGAACTTGCCATTTCTGAAAGATAAAACATACCCTTCTCCCTTCAACTCATAACTGTAAATATTTAATTCATGAACACATTGGTTCAACAATCATGACTCATGCACCTACCCTGTGCAAGGCCCTATGCTCACTGAGCACTGCAGGAGAGACAAACAAGAACAAGATACGACCTCTGCTTTTAAGAACCTTAAAACCAAATTGGGAGGCCAAGCATATTACAAGTTTTAAACAAGAAAAAGTAAGAGATCACCAATATATGTCTCTATTACCCTTGAAAAAGAGATATACAGTATATATGTATACTATCAATGCCAAATTCCTGTTTTTCTAGAACCAGTGCCCCTCTGCCATCTTTTGAAACAAAATAAATTATTCCAATTTAATTAAATGAATTTAAAATTTTTGACCTATTTTTTAAATATGTTTTTATTGAATTTTAGAGAAAAGAAGGGAGAGGGACAGAGAGAAACATCATCATTGGCTGCCTCCTGTATGCCCCCTACTGGGGATGGAGCCTGAAACTCAGGCATGTGCCCCGCCTGAGAAACGAAATCAATGACCTCTTGGTTCCTGGGTTGATGCTCAACTGCTGAGAGCCACATCGGCTGGACTGACCTATTTTTTTCTTAAACATGTATAGGAAAACTTCTTTCTCTGAACAAAGACTTGACTTTTGGGAATAGCCAATTCATTTAAAGCCATGTATGGTAAATAAAGTGAATTATGATCTAATTAAAAATCACTTGTAGTTAAAAGGCTGTTTTCAATAATTACAACATCATTGCAAGGGTGGAGCCTGTTCAACAACCCATTTCTAAAACACCAACATTCAATTTCTGATTTTTTTAAAAATCATTTCTTCTCAGTTTTATTATTTCCTATTTGACTGTATCAGGCAATAAGTACTTAAGGTAATTCAGGGAGGAGGCCATCATTTAAAGCTTGGGAAGTAAGGGTAAGCTTTAGTTTGGATGGAAGCTAAGCCAAACGTAACCCTAAATTCAAGCAAGCAGTGTATAATCTCAAACTAACTACCAGGCTTGCTCTAGGCAGCTCTGGTAATAAGTTAACAACCAATCAGGCTGAAGAGATTCTTTTCTGTTATTTTCCTGTGACCAGGGTTGGATATGATTACATAATAGAAACATACATAGCAAATAAAAGTCTGCCTCAACACAGAAAAAGAAATTGAAATCATTTCTTATACTTTTAACAGCTAAATATCAATTGAAGCAGATATTATAAATCCATTTTCTAGAAAACAAAAAGATCTTTAAGTCAATAATATAAAAATGTATTTTGACTTGTGACTATTCACTTTTCTAATAAATGAAAAGTGTGTTTAAAGTCTAAACCAAGTATAAGACATCCGGCATCTTTGATTC